TCAGGAGAAACTCTCCCTGGACTTTGGATTCGGAGCGTGCCCGCAGTCACATGCCTGCTGCAGGACGCTTCCACGGTGCTGGGCAGCTCCAGCCTGCCAGACGCTGAGCAAAGCCAGCCCCTGCCACAGAGCACGCCCACGAGCTGCGTTCAGGGCTGGGTGCATCCAACCTAGCACTGCAGGCCAGCCTCTCCCGTGTCTACTGGGCACAGGGAAGCATCTGCCCACTGGGACAGCCGGGACTCACACACACCAGCAAGGTCAGGGGCACGGGCCATCAGGAAAGACGCCTCAGAGGTGTGCGGCTTAGCCAAGACTTCAGACTCGGGACAGGACGGAGGGCAGAACAGGGGTGCAGATCCGAGCAGGGTGGGCAGAGACCCCAGGAAGGGGGTCCCGTGTGCTTTAGGCTTTTGCTGTTAGTGTCATGCCAGGTGCTCTGAGGCACGGAAATACTTCACAAAATGCCACCTAGCACCACGGCCTGCAAGGGCCATCCACTCACACAGCAGGACATGTGCAGACACAAGCCCAGCACTCTGCCCAACACCGTGCTGCAAGCTCCACAGTAATTCTTTTTGGGGGTGAGTGTGTGTGTGTGTGTGTGCGCTGTCTTCTTGAAACAGTCTTCCTTTCTAGTACAGACTGGCCTCAAGCTTCCCACCATCCTCCTCCCTCTGCCTCCCAAGCGCTGGGATCACAGGCGTACTCCACCACACTGGCTGTAGCAATTTCTAACAGAAATATTAGTCTTACACGCTGCAATCATGCTCCTTCACTGGGAAACCCCAATCAAATAAAAAGTCTTTATTCTCATAGCCTTTCCAAAGCAAAGACAGTAAAATTATATTCTTAGATGAAAAAAGGTCTAGAAAGATTATTGGCTGCGTGCGCGCGCGCGCGCACACACATATAAACACACACTGACAGAAGTTCTGAGCACCAGGCATAGTGGAACACGCGGCACTCTTAGAAGCTGAGGCAGGAGGATCATGAGTTCTAGCCTAGCCTAGACAACAGGAAGACCCTATTTGAAAAGAAAAATGAAAAGGAGTGGGGACTTAGCTAAGTAGGAAGGCACTGGATTCAATCCCCTGGACCACAAAAAAAAACAACAACAACAAAAACAAAACAAGAAAACCATAACGCCCTCACGTGTTAATAAAAGACAAGAACTGTGTAAGAATTTTTTTTATTCTCTTATTTTGAGCTTCTCTTTATCTGGTATTTTCACAATCAATACTTTTTTTTAGCCAGGTATGGTTCTGTACACCTGTAACGCCAGCGCTCAGAAGCTGAGGCTGCAACTTCAGGGCTAGTGTGGGCTGCACAGTTAGTTCAAGGGCAGCCTGAACTATACAGTAAGACTCAGTATCAAAAAAAAAAAAAAAAAAAAAAAAAAAAGGAAAATCATTTTTGGTTGTGCTTGCTGTTTTGTTGAGACTATTCCCTGTGTGGCGCAGGCTGGCCCTGAACTCAGCGTCCTGCGGAAGCCTTTAGGCCTCCGGGTGACAGGCATGCACCACCGCCTGCCCCACCACACTCGTTCATGTAGTTCTAAAAGCTCAAGTTCCCCCTGCAGCCAACAGTCAGCAAAGTTACAAAGCCCACAGGACGGGCCATAACTCAGTGGCACAGCAGGTGCCTGCACTGTGGGACCCTGGGCTGACACCAGCACAGCCACAGCCAAGGCAGCGCCCAGACCACTTCTCGGAGGCATCTCCAGGCTTCAAAAGGCCTGAGCCGGAGCTGGGACACTGACCCCGCCTTGGAAACTTCCTGAGCTTCCTTTCCCTGCCCACTGCGAAAGACAGGAGTCCCTGAGCCTTCCCACCCCAGCAATTCGAGGGCTCAGTCCTGCTGGAACCCTTTCTGCCCGACCCTGGGCACCCGAGCTCAAGGCAGCAGCGCAGCGGGGGGCAGCAGGCACCAAGGGAGCGCCCAGCCTCCGGGCCAGGGCCACCTTGACCGAGCCGCCACTTGGCATCGCTTCTTGTCCACAGAAACAAAACGGCTCGGGATTTCTGTTTGCAAAGTAATATGAAAGGCCAACCTTTAGCTTTTTTTCTTCTTTTGTGCAGTTTTTTGGGGGGCTGGGTTTTTTTAAGACAGGGTCTCACTGTGCAGTTCAGGCTGCCTTGAATTCCCATGTAGCCAGGTTGGCCTTGAACCCGAGGCAGTCTTCCTGGCTCTGGCTCCCAAGTACTAGGGTTACAGCATGTGCTACCATGGCAAAGTAACCTTTATCTTTAGAACACATAATTCATAAAGCAAATGGTGGATTAAGTTTTGTCTACAGCTTAATCTCAATTTTTGAAAGATGTTCTCAATACTTTACATAAAAAGGTAGCTAAATTCACTGGGAAACAATCACATAAAGCCAGGCATGGCGGCACACACCGGTAATCCTAGGCTGAGACAGGAGGAGTTCAGGGCCGGCCTGGACTACACAGTGAGCTCACGGCCAGCCTGAACTGCACAGTGAGAGCCTGTCCCAAAATTACAAAAACCAAAACAGTAACCATGTACTTTATCTGCATAAGACGCTCACATCCAGCCGGATGTGGTGGCTTGAGGCACAAATTCGAGCCCAGTTCAAACTGGGTGGCAGAGGGGTGTGCTAGGGATGAAACCTCAGCGTGAGGCCCTTGGGTTCAAAGTGACCCAGTACCACTCAGTACCACAAGAGGAAAAAAACATTTTTTTTTTCCTTTGGTGGAACCGGGGATTGAACTCAGGCCCTTGCGCTTGCCAGGGAAGCGCTTATTCCACTGAGCCATCTCCCTGGCCCCAAAAAACACATTTTTATTTGCAGGAAAACCATGCACCCTCACGTGCAATAAAAGGATTACCTTCTCAGCGTGCCATGGTGCTCACACCTGAAAACCCAGCACTGACGGAGGCTGAGGCAGGAGGACTACAAGCACAAGCCCAGCCTGGGTAATCAGGAAGACCCTGTTTCCAAACAAAACAGCTGTGAAAGGGGGTTACAGCTGCAGCCCGGGCACAGGCCATGGACCGATCCCTACTCTAGCGCTGAACACAAGCAGGGCAGAGGGGACCAGCTCTGTGCTGCACCCCAGCCACGTCTCATATGCAGAGCAAGCTTGTGAGAAGACAAAGCAACCCTACGAGCTTGCCAGGTGTTCCCTTCTTTCAGACTCAGCTATACTAGACATATAGGGCCCAGGTACTTAAATCAGGAACAAAAGACAAACACTGCCCCTTAATAGGATGACACAGGAAAGGAAACATTAACTTTAAGAGCAGCCACAGTGTTTGCTCCTCCAGCGCAAAGGGCTGTTATCTTGATTAGTAAGTCTGCATCCCAACACACTGGGCAGCTCCCGGAGCCCTGCAGACCTCCTCCACCTCCTGCTGCCTGACCACCACTGTCGCACAGTAATTTGCTGCTGGGGCTTGGGATGTGCAAAGTCCCGAGTTCAATTTCCAGAACCAAGGTAAAAAATGAAATCAAATTAAAACAATAATAACAACTTGCTAATGAATCTTTTCTGTAGCTCCTAAGAGATTTTAGATTCAGTGCACAGTGTCACTCCTCCTTCTATCAATAAATAAACTGAAACCAGAAGTGATGTATCTCATAGGAATCTGAAACCCAGTTAGTTGGTAAAGCCCACACGCCCCACCAGAACAGCAAAACATGTCCACACACCACTCAGCACACAGCCACCTGCGTGTGTGGCAGGTCTCCAGTGGGACACACAGCACCGCTGCACCTGCTCAAGTAATCCAAGAGGACATCAGTCATACAGTACTGAGATCCTCCGGACGTTAAGTGTGGGAGACTGTTCATTTAATCAAATAGCCTCTAATCTAATTTTGTCCATAATTGCCAAGATGCCAGGACTCTTGTAAATGGAAAGGTAAGGTAGGGGCCGGGGAGATAGCTCAGTATAATAAATGTGTGCCTGGCAAGCCAAGGACCTGAGTTCAATCCCCGGTTCCACCAAAAAAACCCAAAAGGTATAGTAACTGTATTCAATCCCAAAATGTACAGGTGGAAGTTGGGTGGTTCACTCTTTTCAACCAGTAAATTAACAGCACGCGAATCCTGGGGCTCTGGAAAACCGCAGCTGCAGGAAACCTAACAATTATGCTAATTAGCGCTGCTTTTGAGCTTCAGCTCTTTAATGTTTTAGAGGCTCACATCCATCCAGACTTTTAAAAAGTAGCCGCAGAAGCGAGCTGCTTGTGCGAGCTGTGCGTCCGGAGCGTTCCCATCAGCTGCTAAGACGCTCTGGAACGTGGTCAGGCGACGCCGAGGCAGGCCCTCCCAGCCGGGCCAGGCCGAGCTGCTGCTCATTTCAGCCACTCTGGTCCCTGCAGGGCTAAAGGACGACAATCCCGACTTCACCCATGAAGACAGCATTAATGGGGAGGTGAAATGAAGGTCTATTCTACCTCCGCTTCCTCAATACAAAATTTGGTTTGGAGTTGTTTCAAACTGCTGGCAGTCTGCTATTAAAATACGCATCGCTCATCCACCCCACCCCCACCACACCTCCGCCAAGAAAGAAGTCACCCATCCAGTCCAGCTACACGAACTCCAAATCCTTTCCTGCAACCAACTGTGAAAACCGAAACGCCAGTCCTCGGGAGGTAGAGAAGGCGCTCTCTGAAGAACTGGCGGGCTGCATGTTTATGTCAACCTTCAGAAAACACGGAAACGCACAGCCCCAGCTCACCGGGAAAATCACCGCTTGCGATCTAACCAGTGCGTGCCATCTTCCGCCCCTGCGCCCCCGGCTTCGGCGCGCCAAGCTCCCCGCCCCGGGCTGGCTACGTAGGCGCCCCGGCCGACGCTCTGCCCGCTCCCGCCCCGCCTGGACCCGGGGCATCCGCTCGCTCGGGGCGCGTCCGGGAACGCACGGATCACCCCACCAGCACGCCGCCGACTGAATGCGCAGGCGGGGAGCAGGCGGAGAACAAAGGGCGCGCGGCGGGCAGGGAACGGGCGGCGGGGCGCACACAAATACCTTCGCGGGCCGCCGACGTAGGTGAAGGCGAACGTGGAGTCCGAGAACCTGAAATCTGAAACGGAGAGGCCGTTAGCGGCTTGGCCCGGCCCGGCCGGCCGGCGCGCAGGCGGAGGCGGAGGCGGAGGCCGCCGGGCAACAAGTGCGGCGGGGCG